ACTGACGACAGTGACGACGCGTGTCACGGGGGAGGAGTACGGTGAAAAGCGAGTACAAGTGGCTGAGAGATAGAATCGGTGCCTAATCCTCGTTAATCGATTCAGAACGATTTTTAAATGTTTTTTTTTTTTGATAAAATAAATAATATTTGCGTATGGAACTAAAGAGCCGCAGCTTCACATCCAAAGAACCGCATGTGGCTCGCGAGCCGCAGGTTGCCGACCCCTGTCCTAGAGGAAACTGAAATTGATTAACATAATAGGAAAATCTCCAGTCATAATCATACCAAGTAATACGCTAATTCTATTCTACAGGAAATAGAAACTGGTAATTAGGATTATACTTCATCCATTTTTATTTAGTTTTATATAAAATAATCAAAAATACTTATGTTTAAATTGTTAGAATTAATAATTTTGTAATATTTGTTTACTTGTTTAATTCATATTTAAGTTATCCGAATGGTATAATAGTAATTATTTTATTTCACTTACGTGCTCAGTTGAAACCGAACAAAGTTGCGAATATTATAAAAGATTCCTTTTCCTTCCTCTATTGCTGACCTGTAACAAAAGTTAAATTGTATAAATATATTTATTTAAAATAAGATTACAAGTAGCCCTCAATATATGCAGTTGTCAATTAGGTCATTAACAATTCATCTGAAATTGTAATTTTTATTTTTTAAATTTTAAAAATTTTTTGCCAGATGGTAATTAAGTTTAAAATTAAGATTGAAGACAAGTTTGCAAGAATGCCATTTATTCACTTTTGCTGTTCTGGAATGCAGCAGCCTATAAAGAAAAGTTGGTTGTCAAAAGCTGTATTCCAGAACAATGAAAGTGTTCTGGAATACAGAACACTTTCATTGAATGAAGCAGTTGCCATTTAGTCAGACTTGTTTTCAATTTTAATTTTTAATGTTATTTTTATATTTATATTCTCTTGGACATAAGAAAACAAAGAAATCAAAGAATTATACTGTACTTTGTAAGTCTAAAATCTTAATTAATTTTCACACAAAAATATTGTTATTTTCCTTGATTTGTTTTCAAAGATTCATTAAAGTAGCACAAAAAAGAAAAACAAGTGAAAAATTTAAAAATCATGCAAAATATTTATCAAGTTTTGCCTGCACAGTAGCTGCTTTCTTTATTTCTTCAAAGTTTTCTGTAAAAGCTGATTCCATTTTCATTTCTTTTAACATTTCTTAGTATTTTTCTGAGCTCCTTATGTTAGTCCTTGGTGACATTTTCCTTTCCTTCAGCTGCTCCTTCCTTAAAATAGATATGCCATAAGCAAGCTCAATGAACTCAATACCAGCAAGTGCAAATGAATAAGTGAAAATCAAAGCATTCTCTGGTGTTTTCAAAATAAACTTATCCAAACCAAGATCCTGTCCAATGACATTTATTTCTTCAATTATAGTGTCAATTTGATCTTCAAAGTCACTGGATTCATTTTTGCTTTAAGGGAAGAAGTTTTTCCATCAAATCCTTAACTTCTTACAGGACTCAAATATTTTCAATAAATGACCAATTGGCTGAGGTGGTTAAAGTATCAGTCAGCCTACAATTCTGGAAACTCGGGATCAAAACCCAGGAATTTTCATGAACAGTCTGTCCCAGATATTTTGGGGCTCCATTCCTGACTACCTGGGCTGCTTGCTCCCACTAGATCTGGCTTAACTCTGCTGGGCATGAAAAAAGGCCACGTCGGTGCCCATTTTTTCTATTAAAGACTATTTTCATCAACATTAAAAATTAGATGTTTATCAAAATTATTGTTTTCAATTATTTTTTCAGCATTGAAGAAATTTGGCTACTGATTTGTTGTCCATAATTATGGGTTTTCTCTTTCAATTTTACCTTGTTTGTGCCTGCAGAGACCTGAAATTTTTAGCTAATAAAAGATGCTTCCAGAAATGTTATAACTTCATTGAATTTTGCTTTGAGGGTTTTCCTCAAAGGCTGAATGCATTAATCATTAAATTGTATCAATCAAAATTCATTTCTGATTACAATCTTCCAACCACATATGATTAGTTTCCATTTCCACCAAAATTGAAATTCTATTTCTTGTATTTTGCCTACTAAAAGAAGTTGATGTTACATCACCTTGCATCTTCCTTTGCTTTTGATAAAATAAGATGCAGTCAATTCATTGAGGCATAGAGTCCTTCTGATATTGGCCTTGTTTTCACCATTATCAAATCATTTAATGATGTCCAGTTTGGTGTTCAATTTAATCACTATATTTCTTTTATATCAGAAATTTCTTATTAAATTTTAGAGAGAAATAAATGATTACACTAAATATGAAAATAGAAATTTAAGTATCCAAGTAAATGCATTGCAGTAGGAAAATTAGAAACAATAAAATGAAGTTTCCTTCATTTTTTCCTTTCTACTATCTTACAATGAGCAGGAGTGGGGAGAAGGATTGGTTCAGTATTGTCAGCTCTGACCTTGAGCTGAATATGTTGAATTTCCTCAGAACAGATCGGTATTAACTGAAACCGATTGAGGGTTAACCCTTACATGTTTTAAATTCATAAATACAATTTTTTTTCTAATAATAAATCATAACTTACATGATTGTGAAAAAATCATCATCTACCAAAATCATATCTGCTGCTTCTTTACAAACATCTGTCCCATTCTTTCCCATTGCAATTCCAATATCTGCTTTCTTTAAGGCTACACCATCGTTGACTCCATCACCAGTCATGCCAACAACGGCATTATTTTTTTGTAATGCCTATTTCGTTTTAAAAGAACTTTTGTCAAAATTTTTAAACTACAATTTAATAAAATTTATAATTATTATATTTTTGGAAATATACCTTGACTATTCGAAGTTTATGACCAGGACCAACTCTGTAAAATATTGTAACAGAATTTATTATTCTTTGTAATTCTTCCTCCTTCATATTATCCATCTGCTCTCCAGAAAGTGCAATATTTCCAACAGCATATAATCCTAGTCTTGTAGCTATAATACATTTTTAAATTAGTTAATAAATTAAAAATTTAATAGTTTTTACAATTAATAAAATGACTCAAATATAAAATTCTTTCTGAAAAGATTTTTATGGAATTTATTCATTTCTTTTTTGTGAATATTTAAAATTTGCTTTAAAATATGCTCTTCAAAATAAAAAACTAAGAGAAATATGATATAAGATTAGATATATTTTACATTTTCATTTAAATGAAATCAAATATACAAATTAATTTATCATCTGTAATTGCCAGATTATTAAAATGTCACAACTATATACTCATTAACAATCTTATTTTATTTCACTCTAAATGAAAACTCAAAAATTTATGAAATGTACTATATCATCAGCAAAATCATAAAAAAAATAATTTAAATTACTATGCATAATTATCATCACATTGTTTTTATAAGTTATATTTGCATGAATTTATTGCATAAATTAATTCAAAGTCAAAAGAATAAATATATATTAAAAATTTAATACACATCAATATGTTCATTCTTGAACATAATTAAAAGTTATTTATCAGTGTAAAATATAAATGTAAATGTTTCACACAACTGGGAATATACCAAAAATTGATCAAATTATTCATTATAACTTTAAAATATACATATATTTTCTGTTTGCTTATGTTCTATTATTCTTTAAATTATACATTAGACATGGAACATGAATTTATAGTTAAATTTTAAATTTAATTTTATAAAATCATATATGCCATTTCAAAACAAAAAAGAAGAAAACCCCAATTGTCCAAGACAAACCTGAAAGTAAATACACTAACTGGTAACTTATAAGGTAACTGAAATAAACCAATTTGTAATATCTGATACATGTTATCAACTATTGTAGTCCTAAGAATTAGCTGTATGATAAATGAAGTAAAAATAGTGTTCTTATATATGATTAAATTCAGTAAAGTATAAAAAAGAGGTTAATGCTGTAGTCCATATTATCCATGTAACAAGTTCTACTATAACAAACAAATTCAAATACCTATGGCACATGCAGTTTCTTCAGCATCTCCTGTTAGCATTTTGATTGCAACACCACTTCCATTAAGTGTATGAATGGATTCAGCAACTCCAGGCCTTGGAGGATCTAGTATTCCAACTAGTCCCACAAAAATAAGTGATTCCAAAGATGATCCATAAGCCATTGATAAAACTAAAATTATGAGAATAAAACTTAATTATGAGAGTTACTTTATATATATATATATATATATATATATATTTTTTTTTTAAGTACCTCTTAATCCTTTTCTTCCCATAAACTGAGCTTCTTTTAGAATTTGCATCTCTTGATCTTTTGTCATAGAAACAATTGTACCATTTTCACTGAAATGTGTGCAACGAGGTAGTAATTTTTCTAAAGCTCCTTTAACATAGAACATATCTTCTTGCTATAATAATATTATTTATGAGTATATTTCTTTAGTTATATTGAAGAAAAAAAATTATATAAATATTGGGAGAAAACAAACATTGTATTAGAGATTATAGGAGTCAAAACTTTTTATTTGGTTAAACATTTTTCAAGACTTCTCCATTCCATTATTAGATCCAGAAAAGTTTGAATCAGAAATTTGAATGAGAACATCTGTTAATGATTTCAAATTATCTTCAGGAACACTCAACAAACTCACAGATGTTCTCTTCCTTGCAGTTGTGTTTCTCCTAATATTATTTACATACTCTTAAAATAATATATAAATACATTTTTAATTTAAACAGTCTTAAGACTACAAAAAATATTTGATTAAGTGAATATTTGAATATTTGATTATGTTACTACCAAAAAAAATAATGAAGCTAATATATTTTTGAATTTTTATACTGTATACTAGCTGCAACGGCCCACTTCGCTGGGTTTTTATTTGTGGGCAAAAAGTAACAATAGTGAAGATTAAGATAATTAGATTATAGCCAATCTTACCTGTTTTCACAGAATGCAAGAATTAGGTCCCCTGTTTCCAGATTAATTAGAGAATTTTTACATCCAGTCAAACGAACTATTTTCAATTGGATCAATTTTCTGGAACGTTTACAATCGTTCTATAATTGAACCAATTCAAATTCGAATACAAATTCGAATTAAATTCAAATTCGAATACAAATTCAAATTTAAAATGATTCAAACATTTTTAAAATCAAAATAGAAAATCTTCGAAGTCAACCACTTTAAACCCCATATCTCCCACACCCTTATAGCTATCGAGATGCAACCACCATAGTGCATGAATGGAGACTTGGGGCTACTACCACATACAAACACCATTCATGTGCAATGTGTAGTTTTGGCTGAAAAGTGAAATATAAGGACACACACGTCCATTTATATATATATATATATATATATATAGATGTAAGAATCAGGGTTCTGGTATAACCCACCTCACATTCAGCATGACAGTTTTATATCTGAAAAAATCTACAAGATTCTCAAGAGTCAGGAACTCAACACCAGTTAGGATAAGTTTAGTTGCATCATAACTCATGAATTAGTCCATTTATATATATATATATATATATATAGATGTAAGAATCAGGGTTCTGGTATAACCCACCTCACATTCAGCATGACAGTTTTATATCTGAAAAAATCTACAAGATTCTCAAGAGTCAGGAACTCAACACCAGTTAGGATAAGTTTAGTTGCATCATAACTCATGAATTAGTCCTTTCAAGTGGAAAGGTATAATATTCTACTGGAAATTTAGGAAGATCTAAATTAAAGATTAATAACATTGGTGACATGGCCAATCATGGAGTTAGGTATTAATGAATCAAATACAATAATCAAAAGATATATTAATCATAAAAGGATAAACAATGTTATACAAATGGATTAAATTCTAAAATAAAATGAAATAACATATCAAGGAATACAAAGGTCTAACGATAAATGTTCTAAAAGGGAATAAAATTGAATAACTATCTATTACCTAGTTCCTTTCTTAGAGAGTTTACAATAAATTCATATTTCCTGTGGTACATATGCATTAACCCTGAGCGATGAGTATTCTTCAAATGAGGCACAGGTTTAAAGTTTTTTCATACTATCTTGTCTCGCCTCAGTAAGAGAACAACTGAGAGAATTGAGAATCGGGAGCACAGATCTTACTCAAGTAGAGAACTGAGAAGAGGAGCAAGAGCATGTTTGGAGGTGACATATCATCTTTTCTGCAAAAATTTCATCCAATCATATTATTTGAAATACACTCTCCATGCTTCTGATATGTAACGGAAGTTGGGTGGTCTTGTGGATAGTGTAAGAAATCCCAAACTAACTATCACTTTTGGAGGAACTGAGTTGTTTTCCTCCATCAAAACAGGATGTTCCTTTTTCAACTTCACTTACTGTATATTTGTGCAGATAAGACAATAATTGAATCATAAAAAAAGACCCCCAAAATCCGGGGTCATCTTATAGAACAGATACAAAAAAAAAAAAAAAAAATTAAAANATCAAAAACAGAGTTCCTTTTTCAACTTCACTTAATTTTTATAAGATATAATTTTTGATAGGAATTTATCTAACAAAAATTTGTTATTTAATTTAACAATTTAAATCATCAAACCCAGATTCTCACATATACATGATGATTCAAGAGTGGTAGATAAACTTTACAGGATGATCAATTATTCAAATCCATGTAAACAGGAAGTTCCACTTCATATAATTTTTACAACAGATAAAATTTTATAACAAAAATTTGTTATTTAATTTAACAATTTAAATAATCAACCCCAGATTCTCACATATACATGATGATTCAAGAGTGGTAGATAAACTTTACAGGATGATCAATTATTCAAATTACAATAAAAAGTGTTAACATTTATTGTAATTTCTCTATAACTCAATTATCTAATTCTCAAAAATAATTGAGTTACAGAGAAAAATCTTAATTTCAAATCATTAACAGTTTTAAGCACTGAAATCAAGAAAACTAATAACAAATAAACAAATAATAATTGACTGCTGTCACATTATTTGCAAAAGTGTTAGCTTTGTTTACAAAGAAACTGTTGCAGAAATAATATATAGTCTAACATCAAGTGTAACATTTCTAAAAGCTCCAAAAATTATAAAATATTTTGTATCAAAAAATTATGTTATTTAGACAAATACCTATTTATTTATCATTTCTTCTTTTATAAAAGTGATTAATAAATTAAAATTTCTAAAATTTCATTCATTTAAAAATAAAATAGCTTCCGATAACCATTAGAATAATTTTTTAGTAGTAATAATACAGAAAATAGTAGAATTTCTACACCAGAGTATTGTAAAATGCACGTACCTATAAGCCTTTTACCAGTGTGTGTCTCAGACCAAACTAAACAATAAAGTTACAAACATTTTCGAACCGTTACGGTTCTTCTTCAGGTAATTTGAACTTCTTAATTGAATGCACTTCAATTCAAAGTTGTTATGAAATATAATCCAGAACATTGTCCCAAGTGAATCGATGACATCATTATGGACTTGCGCGCTATGCATGTTGTGTGCTATCATAGAGTATTATCCAGTAGGGCCTGCCAGGCTTTCAATAGAGCAATTTCCTCCTTGTAGTTAATACAATTACTCTCCTTAATGGTATTTAAGCATATGTAGATTGTCTCAAGCCATCTGAGGTGGTCCATACAGTGGGTGGTGTGTATGACCTTTGCTTGAGAGAATATAGGTTCTATATCCAGAACCGAAGAATATACGGCCAGAGCTGTGTTGGTTCTTTCATGTTGAATATCCACTTTGTTCTTTAATTCTGGTTTCAAGGGTGTGTTTGGTTGATCCTATGTAGACCATGCTTCTATTACACCTGTAATCAATGATAGGGATGGTGTACACGCCTGGAAGTTTGTTTGTGTCGGGGTATCCTTTCCGTTTTGTAACATCAAAAATCGTAGCACACCTTCGAAAAGTTATGCGGATATTCTTTTTCTTAGCAATCCCAGTGTATATGGATTTTAGTACCGGATTATATGTGATTGGGATGTTGTTAATTGGAGTATCGTTGGTTAGATGGTTACAATACATCACCAACAAGCAAATCGCAAATCCATAATGATGTCATCAGTTTGTTCGGGATAATGTTCTGGATTATATTTCATAACAACTTTGAATTGAAGTGCATTCAATTAAGAAGTTCAAATTACCTGAAGAAGAACCGTAATGGTTCGAAAATGTTTGTAACTTTATTGTTTAGTTTGGTCTGAGACACACACCGGTAAAAGGCTTATAGGTACATGCATTTTGTAATAATACAGTTTTAAAAAATACAATCAGTTTAAATACATATACACTAATATATATTTAGAAAAAAATTACCATAATTTTAATTCATTTGACCTACCATTCCAAACTTTGATGAACATTTTACAATCATTATTTTTTGTTCAGAACTAAATGGATATTCTTTTTTTCTATAATACTGTTCTCTAATTCCAAATAAATCCATCTAGAATTAAACAAATTTTTATTAAAACGTTATCATTAAAAATTTATTTTATTATAAATAAAAAGTTCAAACAACAGCATATACTATTATCATATAGTTTCTGAGTTAAATTCAAAATTAGCCTTAACTTACCAACCATATTTTAACTAATTTATAAAAACAAAATTATACTTTCTTTTTAAGTGTGACATAACATTTTATTTTGTCAACTTCACTTTGGAAAAGCTAAAAATTTCTTATAAATTAGTTTTAACCCTTTTACTACAATGTAGTCAGTTGTACTTCACTCTTCAAAACAACAATCCAAACTGCAGTCACTCTAGGTCATTCTACATATTTTATTTTAAAAATCCACCAAAAATTGAATTTTTATCATAGAAATACAAAAAAATCACATATATTTATTACTTTATGTAGCTTTCAGAATAATAGTGTATAATCATTTGTAGTAAAAATGACTTACCAAAAACAAAAATGTTAAATTATGACCTAAATTTTTGATGTCATAAATTACTTTACTTTGACAGAAAATAAAATTTTTCATTTTGTTATTTGTTTCTGGCACCAAGCCAGCACGAGAAAGAATATTGTTTTGTACATGATGATATAAAATTTATGCATATTTATCTAATTTTTCATGAACAATATCACTTTATATGAAACATATACTATTTTCTGTCTCTCTTTGATTAACTCTTTTAGGTTAGTAGGCCATTTCATTTTAGGCAGTAAGTTGAAAATACCAAAACTATAGAACAATACAACACACTACACAAAGAAAATCAATTAGTGAACATGTTTTATTTGTTTGAGAAAATAAGTAAATAAAATAAAACTATAAGAAAAATAAGAAAAATCATAACTATATACAGGGGGGTGCAAAAGTAGGTATACAGTTGTTATTATGGTAAGCAACTTTAGGCAGTAAATGGAAAATACCGAAACTATAGAACAATAAAACACACTACATAAAGAAAATTGATTAGTGAACGTGTTTTATTTGTTTGAGAAAATAAGTAAATAAAATAAAACTAGAACAAAAATAAGAAAAATAATAAATAACTATATATATATATATATAGTTATT